CTGCACGCTGACCTGTGAGCCTTGCATTTGACAAGGAAAGGTGTGCCCTTCGCCAGGGCAATGATGCCGCACACCGAGAGGAAGTTTGCGGTCGCCTTTGACAACTTACGGGGGCCATGTGCCAGGACGTTCCGCCCGACAGAAGGGGTAACAAAACCGGCGCGCCCTTTGGTGGGAACGCCTTTGAAAGCTGGACGAGTCTTAACTTAGATGGGCTTGTAGCGTCGTGCCGAAAGCGCGTGCCCACGCTATCTGACTCGTTCGCCAATTTGTGTCGCAAAAGGTTGGATGCACAGAGCGAGTGAAGTGTTTGCTGTGGGGAGCTGCCCTACAAGCCCTGGGGGGCAGCGTCGAGAGGAGCAGGTTGAATATGCAGAGGCCGGATTTGAAGGATGGCTTGCACTGACGGTGGGTGGCCGATGGAGTGCAGGTTACTGACGCACATGGAAGCGGGAGGGTCACTTTGATCGCCATGAATCAAGTCCAACGCCGACACCTGACCTAGCAAGCAGGCCCCGCCCACATGCATTGGCGGGGACTACCGTTGCCCCGCCCATAGGCACATGCAGGCACGAGCATAACTTCACGTTGCTGATTGTTTGCCTTCAACGCGCGTGCACATGGGGGTTGACATTCAGTGTTGCGCCTTTTCTCACATGGAGTGCCGCGCGCAAAGGCGGTGCTGTGCCGCCTCCCGAGTAAGGTTCCAACGGCGTTCACTGGAGATTCGCCCTGCCCAGCAGCCTGTGCAGCCCGCTGGATTCCGGCTTCACAGGCGCAGCTTTGCAACCCGTTTCCTTTCGTCGAAGCCGCCTCTCTTTGCCGAGGATCGTCTTGGCGGCTCTGGGCTTGCAATGTTCGTTTGAGGTCTTCCGTTTGGCCCTTAACTTCTCCAGCTGTGCAGCTAGATGCCCTGTGCATTGTGTTCCCCTTTTTGCCTGAGCCTAAAGCTCCTGAAGCAAGAAAGGCGCACCTTCCTTCAACTCATTTGGTTGTCCTGTCGAGGCGTTCTGCGGGTTCAGGTCCTTCGGGACCCCATCACTAAGCCCTCACCGTGGCTTTAGATCCGCAGGCCTGACAGGCCAGGCAGTGCCGGTTTGTTACACACGTGAAGGTGTATACCACTATGCATACTATGAGTCCCACCTCTGCAATTAAGGGCTTCTGATGCTCGTGATCGATGCCTCCTTACGGCTCTCCTACCGCCCGGCTTGCTTTCCTTCAGCTTCCGGCTTCGCTGGGATGACTTGCCATCTCCAACATCTCGGCTGTTAGAAGTTGTTGCTGACCCCCACCCCATGACATACAAGTGGATAGTGGCACCGATTCAACAAAAAGTGGCGGCGCCGCCACCCTCCAAATCTGCCCTTCTCGTCCGTGCTGCAGCTTGCGCCGTGAGACTAGGACAGTGAGGGAAACAGCACTACTGAGTACACTACTGCCGCAAGAGCAAGAAGATGCATATGGAAGGAATGGAAGGAACGTTGCCTGTGTCTTGTTTTTGGGAGGAGCTCGAGCGACGACCTTTCCAGAAACGTACATTGCCATGGCCGGCCGCATGTTCCCCGTAGCATCCACAGCCAGCGTCAGTGGTTGGGTGGCATCCATCGAGGTTGCCCTACGGTTCGCAATGTTCGCTGCTTTGATTTATGCCACTCTGGGATTCATGCCTCGAGCAGACGTTTCCCCCGTGATTTTGAGCGGGCACTCGCTCGGTGTGAATGTGGCCCACACAGTAGCAGGGCACTTGGAACGCATGGGAATCGATGTCTTTGCGATTGTGGCCCTGGACCCCCCGGTCCACTCCAGCATCTCTCTTGCAGGCAGGCGTCCACCCGGCTCTGACAAGGACTTCAGACGGCATCCGCTTGGAGGCCCTGCAGTTGACATTCACATCGGACTACGTGCCCTTTCTGAAGCTGCCTCAGCGGATGATGCGTGTGAATGGGGAGATGCGGAAAGATGCTACGGCGGCCATTGGATCTGTGAAGATGCTGCCGGACAGCAACCATTTCAGCCTGGCGCACTCACATGTCTGGGACATAGCCCTGGCCATCAAAGAGGACATGGCCTTGAAATGCGGGACGGAAGCCAAACGGCGCCAAAGCAAGGCTCCATTCAAAAACAATCGTGAATCAGACGGGTCAAGCGATGTGAACGGGCTATTGGCGCCTATAGGTCTTCAGTTTGAGCTTTGGAGGTAGGATGTCCAGCACAGGGTGTGGATTCACGTTGCGTGCTGCAGTTGCATCATCTGCCTCCCCAGACACGATTTGTCTAGTCACTCTCCCTTCGGCTGCGAGGGCGGTGTTTTTTTGCGGGGTTGCCGCCCGTGACGAACCTGGTGTTTTGGCTCAGGCCCTGCTTCAATCAAACAGTTGCGGACAGATACATGACAAGATGTTGCAAGCCTGCCCCCCTGAATTGGCGCGCGCAGAATCAAACAGAATCGCACAGCGGATTGGCACGCACAGAATCATACAGAATCGCACAGATAGCACCGTGTTGCAGTACCTGCGTCTGACTCTGCCCATGCCAGGATGGCCAGGCCCTTAAAAAGTGCGACTGACCAAAGGAGCTCCGCTACATCGACTGCGAAGTTGCATATGTGTCTGATCTCTGCGCGCTCAGATGTGCTGGCTGCTGTCCTGTGTTCTGAATTCTGAATGCTCTGAGGTGATCATCCCGAGTTCTGACGATCTGGAGGACCAGTCATGAGTATTTGCAAAGGTCTTTCCTCAGCCCCTTCAAGCTTTGGGAACTGTAGAGGCTTCGGTCCCTTGATGCTTGCTGCTCCCCCCCCCTCCCCCCTCGCCCCCATTGCACCCTTGTATGAGGAGTCTGACGGTAGCTCGCACGGCCACTCCACCCCTTCCAAAGGGTGCGCGGCATTGTGCCGATGCAGTGGTTTGCTGAAGTCGTTTTTCGTGCCTTCTGTCCGGCTGTGGTGCAAAATCTGGATTCGTCGGACTTGGTCAAGCCCGAGCATCCGACCGATGCAAGAAGCACATGCTGACTTGACCTCAAACATGAGATCCGCCCCCTCATCAGCCTGAAGCCCACGCCTCTTTTAAGCTGCGAGAGCGCCTCAACGCCACGTTGTGGCGTGGTGGGAGGGGAGGGGAGGGCAGGGGCCAAGCAAACCAAGCTCCGAGGACGTTCCGAGGTCGGAGGCAGAGTGGACGCGCTGCTCCGGAGTGAGATTCTGAGTAAGATTCTGAGCTGTAGTGAAGTAGTGAAAGGAAACAGGGAATGAACTTTGGAACAACAAGCGAAGGAGCAGCGAGGGACGGAGACCTGAAGCCCTTCAGCTGCCCCAGGCTGTCAGCCCCAGCTGCTCAGAAGCCGGGAGTCTCCCTAAACCCAAAAACGGACGGGCGCCAGTTGTGCAACATGGCGCCGCGCAGTTCAACAAGGGACATAAGGGGGGACGAAGTGTTGTGCCACACCAGGGGCCGGAACATGTGTAACACAGAACATGTTTTTGAGGAGCAGCTTACTAGCATGGGCAGATTGGTCATGCTGAGCAGTTATGCAAACCTGAGCCAGCAGGATTTATCTGTTGCGTTGTCTGAGTGTTTGTTTTCGCGTGGTGAATGTCTTTCTTTCTGCTGAACCCAGAGGGGCCGCCTTACAATAAGACCATATCTTAGAGAAGTGACCATATGAGCTATTGTCTCCTCAAAAAGGGTGTTATGTAAGGGCTATTTAGGGATCCTAGTCTGGGGGTCTTTAAGGGAGATACCAGGAGTTAGGACGAGAGCTCATATGCCCAGTAGTCTTAACCGGCTCTTCTTGGGCTTGGGTCTGAATTTCCTGGAGGTCCCTGAACCCAAAGTCTCAAAACCCCAAACCATCGTTGTGGATGGCTTAGGATGTCTTACCCAGATCACGTGAGGATCAAGAAAGTAGAGCCCCCAATTTGGTACCCGATCCTGGTGTTGGGTATCTCTAGGACTCTAGGACCCCTTAAAAGGATCTTACTGACAACATCCGCCTGCGGGTCAGGCTCGTAAGTTTGCTTGTAACTTTGCTGGTATGGTGGCTTGTTGCAGGGTATACCAGGAGTTCAGACAATGGCTCACATTTGGGGATCCTCAACCAAAACTCTACCTTATAAGCGTCAAACTCTACACCTTAACCTTGGTGATATTGTTGGTACTAGAAATCCTGCATGATCTCAGGTACCTTAAACCTCGGAAATCATGGTAGTTTAGTGCAGTAAAGATCATGCAAGATTCTATCATCACCCATACATAATGTTGTAACCCCTATATAGCCCCCCGGAACCCCTATATAACCCTGTAAGCCCTTGATTCCCCAGCTATCCCCGCGATGAGACTGTTTAACTCAGGTCCGCTGACCTTCCAAGTAAGGGGGGAAGACTCGGCAACAAAACCCTCAATGACCCACAGGTATACACCAGGTTCCCTGATCAAGTTTTGTTTTCTGCAAACCAAAAGAACACCTTTTCCTGCCACAGCCAAAAACCCGACTACAACCTGTAGCTGAAATCTATGGGGTATCTGCAGTTTAGGGCTGAGGGCTGACTTGTGGTGCGCTTTTGTGGGGGGGGGGGGGGAGGGGGATTCTTCATGTTGCTTGAACCCCCCCACAAAAAGTTTGATAATGTATTCCAAGACCCTATTCTAGTTACTTGCTCGCCTACATGAGGCTGTGTGGGGTAACCTCTTGCGGACGCTGCTAGAGCGGCTCGGTTCAGTGCGCAGCTTTAAGGAATTCTATTGCACCAAAGAAGCCGCTTCTTGAGTACTTGACCTGCAAGCTGGAAAGCATAAGGCACGTACCCAAGCTACTCTTCCCAAGTTCGAGAAGAAAGCTAGAGTTGGCAGCCGTTCAGTGCGCAGCTTTAAGGAATTCTATTGCACCAAAGAAGCCGCTTCTTGAGTACTTGACCTGCAAGCTGGAAAGCATAAGGCACGTACCCAAGCTACTCTTCCCAAGTTCGAGAAGAAAGCTAGAGTTGGCAGCCGTTCCTCATGGGACACGCGTCGAGCAGCTGCTGCGCCGATGATGAGAAGCAAGCTGTCGAAGACATTCAAGCTTCCATCGGGTTCTCGGTTGCTACGACTCAACCTCCGGCGATCTCAAGCCCAGCTGCAATCTCAAGCGAGATCACGTGCAGCGTGGACACAGTGAGGAAAGGCGTAGATCCTTGGCTGTCTTCTGCGTGGGGCTGTTAAGACTTTAGCTTTTTGGTTTTGTGGTTAAACATGAGGGTGCTAACCCCAAACCCTAAGCATGAAAGCGGCGTTTTCAGAGAACAGTTAAGGATCTTACGTACACTGCCAGCTCCCTGAGCCTGCTACGGGGCATATTTCTTCGCAAGACGTTGCAGAGTGGAGGTGGCAGTTGCTCCAAACCTGAAAAATCTCGCGCCGCCCTCTATAGCGGAAAGCCTTAGGAGTTACACTCGTCGGGGGTCTCAGGCGGTTCAAGATTTCCTTCATCCACCGTAGGCACTCCCCGCGTTGCCATCATCCCGATACCCCCTAAGGGCCTAAACCCCAAACCCCAAACCCTAAACCCTACACTCTAAACCCGAAACCCTAAACCCTATAAACCCTAAACCCCCTAAACCCCCCCAAACCCCCCAAACCCCCCCTAAAACCCCGAAACTTCGGAAGAAAACCCACAGGTGGCCTCTGGCGGCGCGACCCAACCACCCTGAAGCATGAGCAGCTCGCCGCCAACCTCGCCCGCTCCGAGCCTGGGCGCTGTGTTTTTTGGGGGGGGGTTTTGGGGGTTTTGGGGGTTTTGGGGGTTTTGGGGGTTTTGGGGGTTTTGGGGGGTTGTGGGGTTTAGGGTTTGGGCGTTTTAGGGTTCTGGGTTTTGGGATTTTAGGGTTTAGCGGTAGGGCTTAGAGCGTTAGCGCGTTAGGGCGCTTGGGCGTTGGGGGGGTTAGATTTTGCTCTTTTTAGCTTCCTTGGGCCTGTCTTACATCCTTCTTAAACCCCAGGCTCTAAACCCTTCACTCCATCCCCCCACCCTTCCCCCCGCCCCTGAGTGAACAGCCGAGGAGCCAGTTCAAAGTCTGGATGTGTTCTTTTCACATTCCTGGCGCACTCCCGGACGGTGGATGGGGTTTAGGGCTTGGGGGTCTAGGCTTGAGGGTTTAGCGTTTTCGTGCTTACTTTGGGATTTAGGGTTGAGGGTTGCTGTTAGAGAGCTTGTTGCTTTAATGTGGGTGTATGGTAGATAATCGATCGGCTTTCCTTGCTATGCTAACTTGGGTGGAGGGGGTTCGGGGTTTAGGATTTAGGGAGTTAGGGGTTTAGGGTTTGGGGGTTTAGGGTCTGCCTGGACCCTACCGAACCAAGAATTTAGAGTCAAAAACCGTGGCACCGGAAGGTTGAAATTTTTGGGTAGCTGTTAGGGGAAATTGAGCTACCAAATAAGGGCAAATAGTAAACAGTAGGGATTCCTTGTTATATTAACTTAGCCATTTTCAATGTGTCAACAAACCCAAAAAGGCCCAAAGATCCAAGTACGTACTTGGTACCAAGCCTAGGACCCTCGTATTTTTGTGCTTGGACCGTTAAGGCTAGATAACTTAAGATACCACACCAAGGGTATGTCATAAGCCATAGGGTTTCCTTCTGATAGTAGCGTAGGTGGATGGGGATGAGAGGTTAGTTAAGGCTTTGGGGCGTAGTTCCCCTAAACCCTAAACCCTAAACCCTAAACCCTAAACCCTAAACCCTAAACCCTAAACCCTAAACCCTAAACCCTAAACCCTAAACCCTAAACCCTAAACCCTAAACCCTAAACCCTAAACCCTAAACCCTAAACCCTAAACCCTAAACCCTAAACCCTAAACCCTAAACCCTAAACCCTAAACCCTAAACCCTAAACCCTAAACCCTAAACCCTAAACCTAAACCCTAAACCCTAAACCCTAAACCCTAAACCCTAAACCCCCCTAAACCCTAAACCCTAAACCCTAAACCCTAAACCCTAAACCCTAAACCCTAAACCCTAAACCCTAAACCCTAAAAAAACCTAAACCTAAAACCCTAAACCCTAAACCCTAAACCCCCTAAACCCTAAACCCTAAACCCTAAACCCTAAACCCTAAACCCTAAACCGAAACCCGAAAACCTAAACCCTAAACCTAAACCCTAAACCCGAAACCCGAAACCCGAAACCCCGAAACCCTAAACCCTAAAACCCTAAACCCGAAACCCGAACCCGAAAAAACCCGAAACCCTAAACCTAAAACCCCGAAACCGAAACAAACCCGAAACCCGAAACCCGAAACCCGAAACCGAAACCCTAAACCCTAAAACCTAAACCCTAACCCCTAAACCCTAAACCCTAAACCCTAAACCCTAAACCCTAAACCCTAAACCCTAAACCCTAAACCCTAAACCCTAAACCCTAAACCCTAAACCCTAAACCCGAAACCCGAAACCCGAAACCCGAAACCCTAAACCCTAAACCCTAAACCCTCCCGAACCGAAAGGTGGAAGTTCCTGTCCCTTCTTGTCCGCAATGGCTGGCCTTACATGCTGGCTGCATGGGCAACCGGTACAGCGCTGTCGTGCGCGGGAGTTCTCCTAGGAGTGCCTTGGGGACCAAGTGGACCTTGCACCAGGTTGAAGGGTTTAGGGTCTAGGGTTTAGGGTTTAAGGGTCATATCCTTCATGTTACAATCCTACGATATTCTATGACCCCTAAACCCTTTTGGGGCCGGTTTAGTT